ATAGAAGAAGCACCAGATCAAATCCTGATGGAGAAATATAGAAGAAGTCACAGCTGAGTCCTTTGTCCAGCCTATGTTGGCACAGGGAGACAGAGAAGTCTTTGATCAGTGGGGAACAGGGTCAGAGCAGAAGCACCACACTGGCATGCAGAGCACAGGCTGTGCACTAGGATAAGAGAAGGTCCCATACTGAGACCCTGTGACAGGGACAGGTGCCAGCTTTATCACCCACTATCCAGTTCTGGGTCACAGATTCAGGGTAGACTGAAAGAACTGAGTGGACTGCATCAGGGGGTAGAATTCTCAGATAGGGAGGTGCTGGGCTAGGTGTAACAAGAAGCAAGCAGCAGCAGTTTGGCTCAGCCCCCCAAGGGCAGAACAGAATCTTGGGTCCGGCATCTACGCCAGACTACAGAGGTAGTAAGTATTCTAGGGCAGGAATCCCATACAAAAGCTGAGCCTGCATTTCTGTCACTCTGAACCAGCAGAGCTTCCTAAATGGCTAATAGGGGCCAAGTCCAACTGAAACTCAGGTCAGGAACTTTAAAATTAGAGTTCAGACCAGCAGGGGCAACAGATTCTGCCCATACCACTTTAGGGTTCTTTTTTTTGTTTGCCTATTCTTCTAGCCTAATTCCTGACTTGGACTTGATGCTGAGGCTGGGCTCTACAGCATTTCTGAAGAGAAGATCTGGACTGATTCTGTTGTTGCTTTGTTAGGATATTAAATATTCTGTTATTGCAGGATCTCAGAGGTAGGCCAGGGACCTGTGAGCTTTCAGTGCTCCTAAAGTGGTATGGGCAGCTGTTATGATGGCAGGGATGCTCAGGACACAAATGCAGAAGAGAATGACTCCAAAACATCTACAAGCAATTCCACAGAGAAAAACACAGCTTGGGCACAAACTCAACTAGAATTCCTGGAAGAGACGATGCAAGAATTTTTAAAGTTTAAAATCTTTTAATAAATGAAATGAGAATGCTTGAGGAAAAAAACTGGAAAAGAAATGAGAGCGATGGAAGAAAGAATCGGAAAGGCAATTAATTGCTTGGCACAAGAGGTACTTTAGAATTTTGCCTAAGCAATAAACTCCTGAAAATTTTAATGGACCAAATCAAAGTCATATATTCCCAAGATAACAAGAAATATTAAAACAAAATAAAAAGGCTGAAAAAATAGATGAAAATGTAAGCTAGATATCTCACAGAGAAAAGAAAAGCCAACTGTCCTGGAAAATAAATTGAGGAGAAAAAAAATTAAGAATTATTGCAGTATCTAAATGCAATTAGCAAAAAAAAAAAAGCCTAGACTGCATTGCTTTGGAATTAATTAATTAGGTATCCTCCCAAGTCTTCTATGATATTGGGGTAAAGTCAGTTTCTTGTAAGTAAATTCATTTGTATAACTATTGAACTCAAGGTGGAAAGCTTCTACCTGCAAAAGTGTTATTACTTATATTTACATGTATAGAGTTGGATCCTCAACAGCATCTGAACCTCCTAAAGGAATTGGAATCAGTGGAAACTTGCTCTATCTACTGTACCACCTAGCTGCCCCCGTCAGTGGAAACCTTTGAGGAAATAAGATCAGATAATCCTGTATGTCAAAAGTAAACAACAGCATCATGGGGCTCTTGGTTTCTTTCTTTGTTTTCCTCTTCTCTGACATCACTTTTAATGTTCCTTCTATTTGGGCCCTGCATGTGCTTGTCAGATTTGTGTCTCCTAGACTACTGGCTATCCACCTGTAGATGGTCATGCAATAAGGATACCTGTTCCACACTCTCCTCATCCCTGGATGCTGCTTCAGCCTCATTTCACTCCCCTCCCCACCCCCACTCAAGCAGGGACAGCTCTACGCCTTCTTCCCAGCCGGAAGTAGCTCCAGAAGAAGAGATTTTTGTCTCTCTCCCAAAAGCATTTGGGTAGACATTTCTTGAAGGGGGAATGACAGGTAAAAAAAGAGTGCTTAAGGCAGATGGAGCAGGATGTGAGATAGGAGATAAGATGCAGGATGTGACCAGTCAGAAACGTGATCAAAGAAGACTATGCATTGAAGCCCCCTTCAGTGGGAACTTACCTGTGCGCTTTCACAAAGCACCCTCAATTCCAGAACAACTTCCCCTCCCCTTTCCTATTCTCTTTGCTTATCACCTCCACACTACCTGATATTCCAGGCATTTTGGAGCCATGCTCCTCCCATTCTCTTATCCCCTTCCCCCATTCCATAAAATTATATTTAAACCATTCCTTTGACCTGGCTAACCATGTTTACCTCCTACAGGAAGCAGGGGCCTCTCTGCTCCCTTAGGGGAGCAGGGCCTGCAGCCTATGCTCTGCCTCCCACGTGGAACAGAACTGAGTAATAACCTGTGAGAGAAAATTAATGAACAAGACAGACCCAGTACCTGCATTTAAGTTTATACTCTATTAGACAGAATTTCTATGAGAGAGAGAGAGAAAGAGAGGAATAGCAACAATGATAACAGTTGGCATTTATATAGTGCTTTAAGATTTACAAAACACTTTACTTACCTAATTTAACTCATTTGATTCTCGCTACAATCTAGTGAAGTAGGTGCTATTATTATCCCTATTTTACAAACAGGAAACTGAGGCTGAGAGAGGTTAAGTAACTTGCTCAGGATCATAAAGCTCTTAAGTACCTGAGGTAGAATTTTAACTCAGGTCTTCCTGACTCCAAGTCATATGTTCTTTGCACCGTGCCAACTAGCTGCTTCAAAAGCTAGTTGAAAGTTGATGCACGGTGAGATCCTGTGTCTAGAGGCCCTAAGATCCAAGCCCAACCCCTAGCTGCACGATTCTGGGCAAATCAATTACCCTCCCAATGCCTCCTGGCAACTTCCTAAAGCTTGAAGCTATAGAAAAGTTGTAGATTCCTCTCAGAAGCTCCTTACACCAATGATATGGAGGATCTGGACCCAAAAGTTGATTCGCTTTCCTCATCATTATTGTTAAGGAAAACAAGATACGAGCAGCACATTTAGAGAAAATCTTCCTGTGGAATTCATTTTCATTGGCAGCCATAGACAGTATCAAACTTTTCTTACAAAAACACACACTTGGCTTCATCTTGTTGCAAAGCCAGGGCTTTGCAGGGCTCTATCTGTGAGACACAAAATTTCAGGACTACTGTGCCAGGAATGGGCTTCTCTATACTTTGATGTGTTAAGAGTTAGCCAACCAATAAAGCCACAGGAGGTGGATTTTTGGGAAAGGCTCTCTCCTCCCTCCTTTGCCCAGTGCATATTATGTAATTACAGAGCTCTGGTGGACAGATTTGCGGTTTCCACAGTAAACTGAAATTCTCATCCCAAATGATGCTAGACTGAGGAATAATTTTTTTCAAATTAGAAAAGACAGACTTACAGCAAACATGTTCTTGGGTAACACTTGGGTGGGGGTTTTCTGCCAAAAATAAAGTTGGAGAAGGGAGGCTTTCAGTTTTATCCTTCAAGTTGAACTCAGGCCACAAATCTCTTCACCCTCAGTCAAGGTTACTCAATTATCTGACTCCAGTTAAAGGTCTTGAGACTAAGATTCCAGGATCATAGATTTAGAGATAGAGTTTAATGACTACTTAATACCCCTATTCTACAGATGAAGAAGGTGAGGCGTACAGAACCTAAGGAGGTGTTACTGGAACCCAAGACCTCCTGACCCTAAGTCCAATGTCCGGTCCATTACACCATGCTGCCTTCTTATGACAGTACCAATGATCCTTGAAAAACAACTGTTTTTTCACAAGACGTCAACCTGAAAATACATTTTCTCCTTGTTGAACTTCCTTTCTCAATCTTATCCTATATCACATCTCAAATAAGATGCTCTTCTTTCCCTCTACCAGATTCCCCACATGACCCCACTGATAGACATATTACTAAAAATAATATTTTAATTAAAAAAATAAACACCCCAAATACCACCAAACTTTAGTAAAAAACCCGACTCTTGGGCCCTTTTTGACTCAGTATGTTTAATTCCATACAAGTGTGGCCAAATGCTACTGTGGCCTTTTAAAAATAGAGTTTTTACACAAGATTTAGAACTGGACAGAATCTTAGAAGTCATCATTTTAGAGCTCAGGAAGCTAAAACATAAGAGAGGGCAAGTAATTGCTCAGGGTCACACCATTAATAAGACAGAATTTGAACCCAGGATTTTTCTGTGTTTGGCTTTTAAAGTCCTTCATAACCTGTCCCCTTCCTACCTTTTCCTGGCTTCTTATATCTTATTCTCCTGCATATACTTTGTGACTTAGTGTCACTGGCCTCCTCACTGCTCCTCATATATGAGATTCAATCTCCCAGCTCTGTACATTTTATGGGCTATCTCCCTCCTCATCAAAGGTTTCCCTGGAAGTCTTTAGTCTCAACTAAAATCCCACCTTCAAAATGCCTTTTCCTGGTCCCCCTTAAAGCTGGCACCTTTCCACAGTTAATAATTTCCAATTTATCCTTGCTTTATCTTGCACAAAGGTTGTTTGCCTGTTGTCTCCCCTATTAGACTATTAATTCTCTGACAGCAGGGCCCATGTTTTTGTCTTCCTTTATATAACCAGCACCTGACCTACATAAGGTACTTAATAAATGCTTGTTATCTACTTTTCAGACTTTCTCCTAAACTGTGGCCAAATGTCATCTATGACTGCCTCCAAAATCTTAAACTCTACCCATATAATTCCTCTTCACATTAACTGTAGCAATCTAACTTGTCTCAGAAGGCAATTCTGGCAACACCAGCCTTCTCATTATCCTAGAGCATGGACTTAAAATCTGTTTCTGCGTAAGTGTAGGTACTCCTCATTTCTCCACTAATTTGTGCACTGGGTTCAGTATTTGCTGTCACTTTGCCTGTGTTTCCATATTGCCTGCTCATGTCACTACTGAATCACAAAGCTCTGAGTCTTATCCATCACATGTGGACAAATATTTCAATGCCCATAAAGATGATGAACAAGAAGAGTACAATAAACTGACCTTCATGGACTCAGAGTACAAAATGTACTCCCTAAGTACCGGCAAAAAGTCCTCTGTCATGTCATCCGTCAGGTCTTCCAGAGCAGTACAACAGTTCCCAATACAAGCTGAAACTCCCTCCAGGGGCTCCTCCAGCTCCACCTCTAGTCCACCCCACGTAGAATACACAGGCCCATATTCTCTGAGTTCTACAAGGTATTCTAGAAAAGGAAAAAAGGAAATCAGTAAGGTCTGGCTGGGAAGTAGTGGCCACATGAGGAGGAACCTTTGGCCTACATACAGTGGTACCTGGCAGATCTGCTACTTCTTTAATCAAAAGCATGTCTACAGCAAGCCCTGCTTGGCTATCTTCGTAAAACTGACTTGCTTAGCCCTGTAAGAATTAGCCATAGTAATGCCACGATGAGACACCACCGTGCTTCCTTTTTCTTTCTTTTTTTTTTTTAAGAAGAGTAAATGGTAGTAGAAAACTGTTGCATTTAACTAACTTATAAGTGTTCTGGGGCTCCTGGATCAAAATCCATGTTTTTAATGTCTTGGTACCTTCTAACGGCAGGGGTTCTTAATATGGGCTCAGTGGACTTGTTTTTTAAACAAAATATATTTTGACAACTACATTGCAACATAACTGTTTTACTTTGTAATCTTATGAAAGTTATTTTTTGCATTTAAAACATTATTCTTAGAAGGGTTCCATAGGCTTCACCCTTGCCAAAGAGATTCAGGATACAAAACAGGTTAAGAATCCTTGCTTTATGAGTGTATACTATAATGGATAATAATATTAATAGGTATACAGTAAACTCCTTGAAGGAATGTACAATACTTTGTTATTTTATCCCAGTTCATTACTCATAGTAGATGTTTAATAAATGCTTGTTGAAATAAATTGAATAAATTTAATTCGTTGAATGCAAATATATTTGTATATACACATACACATACATATATAAAGAAAATTATGGCAGGAACTTCCTCAACTAAGCATTCTTAGAAATAGCCACTCACTTGCGATCTGGTCTAACCATTCTAGAGAGGAATTTGGAACTATGTCCAAAGGGCTATAAAAAACTGTGCATACCCAGCAATACCACTACTAGATCTGTATTACAAAGAAGTCAAAGAAAAAGGAATAGGATCTATATGTACAAAAACATTCAGAGCAGCTCTTTTTGTGGTGGCAAAGAATTGGAAATTGAGGGGATGCCCATCAAGTGGGGAATGGTTGAACAAACTGTGGTATATAATTGTGATGGAATATTATTGTGGTCTAAGAAACGATGAGCAGGATGATTTCAGAAAAACCTGGAAGACTTATATGAACTGATACAAACTGATAAGCAAAACCAGGAGAACGTTGTATCCAGCAACAGAAATACCGTATGATGATCAATTGTGAATGATTTAGCTGTTTTGACCAATACAATTATCCAGGACAATTCCAAAGGATTTATTTTGAAAAATGCTATTTACCTCCAGAAAAAGAACTGATGGAGTCTGAATGCAGATTTAAGCATACTTTTTAAACTTTCTTTTTTTTTTTGTTTTAGTCTGTTTTTCTTTGTAATATGGCTAACCTTCAAGTATGTTTTGCAGGACTTTACATGCATAATCTATATCAAATTGCTTGCCTTCTCAAGGAGGGGGCAGGGAAGAGAGAGAAGGAGATAATTTGGAACTCAAATTTTAAAAAATGAATGTTAGAAAATGCTTTTACATGTAATTGAGAAAAACAAAATAAAATAGGAGAGAAAAAAGTAGCCACACCTAATATTTATCTAGGACCTATTCAGAACAGGCAAGAAAAGTTTTCTTTTTTCTTTTAATCTCACATACAAAAAAAAAATCCTCCAACCATAGAATGTTAGCAGTGTTAGTGACTTTAGAGAGCATCTTGTCCATCTACCTCATTTTTACAGATGAAAAAACTGAGAAGTAAAAGAATTTCCCCAAGGTCACAGAGTCAAGATAGGGTATATGTCTTGACCTGAAGCCCCAGTCATCAAGTTGATGGTCTATCATTTTTGATGAAAAATAACACAACTTTGCTTCCTGCCCATTTGCTTAGGGAGAAATGGTGGGACATCAAACATTGAATTAGTGGGCTGGGTCTTCCTGTTTCTGAGAACTGCACAAGTTTGCACAACTGACTGCTAATGCTCATGCGGCCTCAAGGTCACATGTGGCCCTCTAGGTCCTCAAGTGTAGCCCTGTGACTGAATCCAAACTTTACAGAACAAATCCTGTCCTACACCAAAGTCACACCATGGCCAGATCATTCATCGCATGTTAATGTGAAGTGGGGAAATTGCCAGTAGGCCCATTCTAGTAGCATAGCTACTTAATTAAAAAAATTCCCCATTGTCTGTTGTGGGAAAAGCTCACCTTATCAGAATGAAGCATGTACATGATGCTCCTTTAGGATCTGGCTTCACCAAATAAGTCTTTGTTCCATCTCTCCTTTTTAACGATAAGTACAAATTTAAACCCTTTTTAACATGAAGTAAATATCAAGGTTATTATGTGAGCTTGCCTTGAGCAAGAGAACACACATGCACTGCTCAATCTTGGTTAATCTGAGCAAGCTCAGCTCACACACAAGCCACTCATGCAACCATAGTAGCTGGGATGCTACTGGAGGGAGTGCAGCTTACCTACTTCTTCCTTGATGATCCTCTGAGCTATTCGATCAATGGTTCCAAGTTTCAGGGCGAACATGTCTAAGTATTCACCCATAGCTGCAAATTCTAGTGGTCGACTTCTCAGCTTATAGCCTCCAGTGACATACTTGACAGACTCCCCGACCTTAGAGAGTAATGCCATCCCTTGCTTTTTGTAGGTATTCAGATCCTGACAAGAGAAAACACCAGGATAGTTTAGTGACTTGGAAAAAAGAAGGGAGTCACTCAGATCCAGAAAACCAAGTGGGCATTTCAGAGCCAAGTCAGAGGCACTACTGTGCGACTAAAACTTCCAAACTTCCTCTGTCACACTTGGATCAAAACTGCTAACGAACACACTCTCTCAGGAATTAGGGATGTTTAGTCTGAAGAAAAGGAGACTTGTCAAGGAAACGATGGCTGCCAAATTTCTGAAGAGCTATCACATATTAATACATCAATTAACCAAAAATTATTTATTAATAATTTACTACATGCCAGGCACTCTGTTGTTGTCTGTCCTTCATTCTCAAAGAGGATCAATGACATCAGGAGGGTGATGTTTTGACTTGCAAGTGAATTGGATTTAAGTGAGGCAGAGCTGTGCAAAGTCATCAGCCTCACTCTCTCCTCCAGAGTCACAGGAGTCCAGAGGCAAGACACAGAACAGGATGACTGGTGATGGCCCAAGATGAAGTGGGAGACCTTGGCTTTTTTAAGCTAAGGTCTTTCCCAGGTCTAGTTTGTCTGAGGCAACACCCATTCAGTAGTTAAAGGCTAGGTAAGAACTGAGGCAAAAAAAAAAAAAAAAGAATTGAGGCAAAAGATGGCCTACTTTGCCCTTCACAAAAGAATGAATAAGGGCAGAGAAGACCTCAGTTTCTGACCAGAACAGAAACAACTGCTATTTACACTCATTATGAGCTATCAAAACCAACATAATGAGCAAGTTTGGCTTGGGCTGGGACCTATTATTGGCCAATCAATGAAAGCCAGAGTGATCTGAGTTTAAAAGCATAGTCAAGTAGCTCCATTTGACTCCCAATGGGCTTTATCAAAGATGCCAGGCACTTTAAATACACACACACACACACACACACACACACACACACACACACACACA